GATAAGCTCTGTGGATGTTCTCCCTTGTTGCTGGTTTGTCACGCAATAGGCCCAGAGGAGGGTGGCTGGGTGGTGGGCTGGGGAATCTGCAGGAGGGAGGGAGCCAGGCCAGGAGGAGCCAGCAAGGTACACACATCAGAGAGCCCTGGAATGTCCCCAAGGGGGCGGGAAGCATCTAGAAGCTTCCTGGGGCCAGTCTCACAGCTGGAATGGCCCCTCCTGTTGCCACTGGGCTGCGCCTCTGACCTCAGGGTCAGAGTGTGGTCTCCCACTCCTGGTGGGTGGAGGCTGCTATTAGAAACCAGCCGGCAGGGGAGAGGCTGGCAGGAGCATGACCACAGGCCAGGAAAAGGCGGCTGGGAGGTGAGGGGAGGTGGACAGAGCTGGGGACCATCCCAGCTACACATCTTCTATCTAATAGCAGTGCAGGTTTGGTCACAGAAGGCCAAACAGGGAGACCAAATCCTGCTTTTTCTTCTCTCCACCTCCTTATAGAGGGGCAAGGCTCCCATCTTCCACACTTCTAATCCGGAGCCCAGCTGCCCCAGAGGGCTGGCTTACTGGGTACTCTACTCTAGGCCTGGTGACCTGGACCACAAGTTGCCAGGGTGTCTGCCCTGCCCCTGAAGCAGGCCCCTAGGGGATGAAATGAGAGCTACTGCTCACCACTCTGCCTCAGATGGCAAGGTCCTTCCCCTACTGAAGGTCAGCAGGAGACCTGCCCAGATGGCTGGCCAGCTGAACCCAAGAAAGCTACATCCATGCTTCCCTTATCCTCTCACCCGGGCAGGAGGCTTAGCCACCCAGAGACAATTGAAAATAGAGTCTAAGAATAAGCTGCTTAGTGGGGTTTGGAGAAGGGCCCAGCAGGTGGGGGTGGGGCCAGGGCCTTGGGGAGCATCAGCTGGTTGCAGAGGAGAGAACCAGCACCCCGAACTTCCAGGAACGGGGTTACTTAAAGGTGTCCCAGGGTCCTTGACCAGATGTGAGCCCCATCCCCTCGGTTCTAGAGCTGCAGGATCAAGCCACCTGGGTTTATGCTTTTTTGCAAACACAGGCCCAGCTGAGGCCATCTAAACATACATCACCCCCTCCCCACACGCAGCAGAGCCTTGGCTGTCTCCACTGGACCCGAGGCAGGCAGGAGTGACACTTCCCAGAGGCCTTCCCGAAATGGTCTCCAGGGTAAACTGGCCGCTTGACTGCCTCCAGTCTGGAAGAGGTCCCATTGCTCCCCAAATGCACGGCTGGCCCGCCCCACAACACCCTGGGGTCCTGGGGCAAGCAACCTGTGGAAATTTGAGTCTGAACCTCTGGGAGAGGAAATGGTGAAACTGGTAGCTCCCTGAGAGCCTTGGGTAAAGGAAGCGACTGTTGCACTTCCTGGGATCCTTGCTGCTCCCCACCCTCCGCTCTTTCCCATTCCTCCCAGCCTGGCTGCCTGCTCAAGCTGGAGGTCTCAACGGAAGAGTCACTTCCTCCGCGAAGCCTTCCTGAGCACCGCGCTGGATGTGGCTCTCTTGATGTTTCCCGTGGCACTTCATTCATTCACGCAATCATCCCTAAGACAGAGAGGAACCGTGGCCCGCAATCTGCCAGCCTGTTCTAGGCAGGGGGGGCCAGGCACACAGGACCTGTGCCCCCTCTAGAGCTCACAGAGCGGGGCGGGAGTTGGGGGGTGGAGGCCCCTAGGTCTGGGGGAAGCGATGCAGCACCCGCGACCCCAGGGGCTGCGCTCCCCAAAGTCGGCCTGGAGCCGGTAGATGCCGGCGGCTGCGGCTCTTCCCGGTTCTCCCCCTCCCCCGTTTCCATGCGCCGTCTCCGCTTGGATGGCAGTGTCCAGCTGAGATTTGGGGGACGCGGAGCCCCTGCGCAGATGACCCCCTGCGGGGACGATCGCCTCCCACCCGCTCTGGCTGCTCAGACAAAGGCTGCGCCCCAGCTGCGGCCGCTGCGCGTGCGGATTCCGTGTCCGCGTCCCCCACCCAGTCTTCAGTTTGGCAAGCAAATCGATATTTTAAACAAACGAAAGCAGAAATTCTCTTCCCAAACAACTCTCCCTCTCTGAGATGTGGGAGGGGCAAAGAGCGACCCCGGGATCGCGAGCGGGGCAACTGACGTGGGGCGGGGGCTGGGTCTAGAAACGCGCGCCTCCGGAGGCAGCCGCTGGCACGGGAGCGCGCAGCCCTGGCCGCGCGTCCCCGCTACCTCCCCGCAGCGGGCGAGGGCCGAGCGCTGCCGCAGTCCGCGGGGCGGGCGCGGGCGCAGCTTGCCCGCCGCTTCGCGCAGGGCCACTGCATTGCAGCTGCGCTGGGTGTGCAAGCGTGCGTGTGTGCGCCCGTGTGTGTGCACGCAGCCGCGCCCCAGTTTGCCAGGCGCTGCGGTCCCCGCGCCCCTTCCCTTTCCGCCGTCGCCCCTCCCCCTCGCCGCAGCGCGCGCCCCCGCACTTCCCCGCGGCTCTAACAGAATTTGCCCGGTAACCGTGGGGGCGGGAGGGACTGAGCCGAGGAGCTGCGGAACCCGAGGGGAGGGGAGCCGAGAGGAAGGCTTCACACAGCCTGGCCGCTGCGGCATCTTCTGCGACACACTTCTCCACCGCCGGGTCACAGGGTTGGCCACAGCACCGGGGACCCCCACCCTCTGGGCTGTCCCAGCCGTCCTCTCTGCACTGAGAGGATTATGCCCCGGGCGCTGTGGCTGACCCCCGACCCCCGCCCTCGTTATTATTTATCGGGCTGGATAAATGAGGGTGGCTAAGTTACTTATATTCATTGAGGGGGTGGAGAACTAGGAGAAGGACGTTTTACTCCTCTACCCTGGCAGGATGGGGGGTCTCATGGTTCCTGTGCTCTGGACCCCTTTCGCCTCCCACTGTTGAAAGGATGCCTGGTCAAGCCAAAAGGGAAGGAGATTCACGGGGTCCTTCCAGGCCCCCACCTCTTCTCTGTCTGCGGTGGTCCTGCCTTCTCCCTGCCCCACCTCCTGTCATCTCTCCTGTGTATTCTGCCAGGGGCTGAGGGACGTTTATTTCAACTGGAGGCCTAGGGAGGTCAGCGCTCCAAGTCCCTGCAGAGGGGGCTGCTGAGGAGCAGTGTCCAGCTTGGCCGAGGACTCAGGGGTGTGCTTCTCATGGAGCAGTTAAGGTGGCTTCCCTTCCCCATGGTTCCTGTCGTAGCATCTTCCCCTGCAGGCACCCTCCTGGATAGCTGGCTCTCTGTCTTTCCCCCTGGGAGGCAGGGGGCAGCTGATGTTTCCTGTGCTTCCAGGTGAGGCACTGCCTGGCTGGACTTGACTCTCTGAAGTGCTCCATCTCCCAGGCGGGTCCCACACTGACTGGTCCCAGCATCCTTCAGTCACCCTGGAGGTGACCTGGTGACTGAGGGAGAGCCAGGGCTCTGCAGAGTTCCCTGTTCCCTTTCCCATTTGTTCTGCAAAACTGAAACCGGATTTCCTGAACGGGAGCCCCTGGTCACCCTGCCCTTCTCCGTTACATCCTGCGGGTCATCTGGCTGGCTGTGGCCGTGGCCAGGGTGGCTGCCAAGGCCAGCCTGGTGCTCCCAGGCAGCCACTGCCAGACGCAGATGCCTGCTGACCCAAAGCCACCTCTGGGAACAGCTCAGAGGGTTCAGTGGCTGGGGTGGCTGCCAGGCACCCTGTCCCTTCTGGGGCCAGGGCTGCGATGAGGCTGAGGTTTACACCCTGGGTGGCTCAGGAAGGCTGCCAAGGCATGTACCCATGCCCAGAGATCCTCCAGTGGCCAGCAGCAAGGGGAGGTCTGAGAGGGGAGAAGGCAAAGGGCTGCTGTGGATGGGGAAGGGGAGCTTAAGGAACTGACCCTACAGAGGCCCCTGGGCGAGCTTAGCTAAGACCTAACACCTTGGGTTGGCATGGTCTCCAGCAAGGGATCCCACAGACGGGCACCTCTGCAGCTGCCCTGATAGTAAGGGCAGGTTCGGTCATTCTTCCCATTCTGTCTCTGTCCAGAGAAGACCATCAGCTCAGCCCTCCAGCCAATTTCGGAGCTTCCCTTGGGCATGTCCAGGCAAGAAAGGGCAATCTCTGATCTTAGCGCCCTCCTCCCCAACCCCCGGCGACCCCTGTGGAGCAAGGCAGCTGCTCCTAGAGAAGCAGCCTCGGCCATCACATCCAGCCTCCTCCCTTGGAGCCACCGGGGGCTCCCTGGCCCTCCACCCTCAGCCCTGAAGGTGATCCTGGGCTTGTGTCAGATGCTCTATAGGACAGTGCGAGCTCAGTTGCTCAGTCATGTCAAACTCTTTTGCAGCCCCATGGACTGTAGCCCGCCAGGCTCCTCTGTCCATGGAATTTTTCAGGCAAGAATATTGGAATGAGTTGCCCTTTCCTACTCCAGGGGAATCTTCCCTACCCAGGGATTGAACCTGTGTCTCCTGCATTGGCAGGCGGGTTCTCTACCACTGTGCCACTTGGGAAGCCTGTACAGGGCAGAAGCCAAAGTAAAAATAGCCTAGATGCAGGAGTGATGGGTGGGGAAGAGTTTCCATAAGAAGGTTTGGCTTATGGGCTCTAAAAGGCAGAAGCACTGGGCACACACCCGAAGTCCAGCCTTGGAATCAGAAAGAAGCCCACCATGGGCTGCCTTCCCCCAGCCTCGCCTCTGAGAGGCTCAGGGCTTGATGATGGCCTCCAGGAGCCCCTCTGCTTCCTGGAACTGCCCTGGGGGGCGGGGTGGGGCGGTAGAGGATGCTTGGACCTGGCTGCTCCGGGGCTGTTGAGAGAGGCTCAGCAACTTGGGGGTTTGTCTGGCTGCTCAGATCCCCTGGCAGGCCCTGGGCCCAAGCTCACAGACTCACTGTGCCCCAGGGAAGTGCCGAGATTAAGGTGAGTCTCACCAGGTGAGACTTGGGCCCCGAGCAGAAGTCAGGACACCTGGGTGCTTCCTCCTTTCTCACACCTTGTGCTCAGGGTTCCCAGGTGTCCCTTTCCCTTGGGGCTTGGCAAGGTGACCCGAATGCCCTTCTTACCGTCCAGTGACAGCCAGTCGTGCTGGGAGGACGGGAGTGTGGGCAGGGCCCGAGCTTTGTACTCAAACACCACCGAGTTGGAGATGATCTGGTTGTTGAAGGCAACTTGTAGGGTCACAAGACCAGTGTCATGGGCTGAAAGCAAAAGAAAGACCAGTCAGGGCGGGGGTGGGGGTGGGGGTGGGACACGGATCCCCCCATCCCCACCTTGTGTACCACCCCAGGGCCTGGAGGAGCCGCTTCCCTCTTCCTCATGGATTAGCCCTGTCTGGGCCTGCTCATTCCTAGAGGCCAAAATGCAGTGCTGCTTCTACTGGAAGGCTTTTCTGGGGGCTCCACTCAGTCACTGCCCCTTGATCACTCTAGTTTGTCATTGCCTGTTGGCTCCCCTGCCCTGTCGGGAGGACAGGGACTGGGAGCTCAGTACAGATTTGTTGAATGAATTAGTGAATGGATGAATGAAGGGTCCTCCACTCCACCGCATGGCTGACTGAGTCCTCCCCCTCCAGTCCATCCTGGGGGGAGAGGTTGGGTTCATGTCCAGCATTTCCTTTGGGTTCCTTTGTGCTCATTTCTGTTTGGTCCTTTCCTGCAAGCATGTCCTGATTCACTTTGCATGGCCTGCCTTGTATTTTCAGAAGTTGTGCCTCCCTAATGGAGGCAAGGGCTTCGTCTGTGCCTGTTACTCTGAGTCCAGTGGGGGCTGGGCTGGGGGCTGGCAGGAAGCTTGTGCCTCCCTATCAATGCCTGGACATCAAACTTTGGAAAGACAGGCCCTTATGGGCCTCAGCAGCTGTTCTGACCTCAGTACAGGGCCCAGTGAAAACTTCTGGTTGAGTAATGCATGGGACATTCTCACTGTCTCCCAGCCTCGGGCAGAGACCTGCTTTGTTTCTGGCGGAGAGGCTGCTGTTGAAGTCTTGGGGGCCGGTGGGGCACTGCGGGCTGCTCCACCCCTCCAGGCCTCGTCCCCCCACCTCCACTGGGAGACAACAGGGTTCTGTGCTCTCTGCCCTGCTTGTCTGGAACCAGCGATTGGGGCCTCCCCAGGACAGGTTTCCAGGGAGGACACACCCAGGGATCGTGTTACTGTTTGGGCTCTTGGTTTTCCAAAGCTTAGCTTGGAGGAAGCTGTCCAAGTCAGCTGCTCCCGGGGGCAAAGGAAGGCTCTGGCTTCCCTGGGAGGACGGGTGGTGTGGGCTCACTTCCCGTGGGAAAACCAACTCATCCACTTGTGACAGCTCTCCATCCCAGGTGGAGGTGTTACATCATTGTCCCCAGAGTGGGTCTTCAGGAAGTCATTGCCCCAGGATGACCCGCAGTCTTATTGTCCCCGCTGTGCTTTCTGCCCTGCTGTGGCTCCTCAGATCCGGGTCACAAGCTGGCTCTGTGGTGGGTGGGTGGGTGGGGGGCAATGTCCTGCAAGACCTCCTGCTGTGCCTCTCTGGGCAGGGAGCCCCAGCCAAGTCCAGGCTCCAACTACGTCCACGGGGCAGACCTCCGAGCTCGTGGTCACTTGCCTTCCCTGGTGATTTGCCTGGTTCACCAACAGAAGGGCGGGGCGTCAGTGCTCATCCGTCTGAACACTCCCAGCTCTGCTCCTCTGAGCATGCCTTGCTGGCCCTGGGGAGTTCAAGGATTCCCTGCACCAGATGTTCCAGCCGGAAGGTCCTCCCCCTCCGCTGCTCATCTTCCACCATCTCCTGGTGGAATTCCATGAGGAATCTTCTGTTGCAGCATGTGGACTCTCTGTGGCTCACAGCCTCAGTAGTTGCAGCTTGCAGACTTAGTTGCCCTACAGCATTCCCCGACCAGGGCATCCCCTGCATTTCAGTGTGGATTCTTAACCATTAGATTACCAAGGAACTCCCCACCTAAAATCATCTTTCAAAGACATAATTTAGATCAGGCCACTCCCCACTTAAAACGAGTGGCTTCCACTGCAGATAAAACCAAATCAGACTCCTTCTTGTGACTCAGAAGGTGGGCCATGATTTGGACCCTGCCATCTTCTCTACCCTAGCTGTCTCCCACCTTTGTATTTCTTCAACTTACCCAAACTGTTCCTGCCTCGGGGCCTTTGCACTTCCTTTGCCCACAGCCTGGAGGCTTTTCTCCTATTCTTCCCAGGACTGGGTGCATCTTATCATTCAGGTTCCAGCCTAATGTCCCAGCCTATGGGAGGCCTTCCCGCATCAGTCTGTCCAAAGGAACTTCTCTTAATGCATTATCATATTCTAGTGTCCTGGTATCATTTTCTCCAGTTACCCTGGCTATTTCTTTGTTTCCTTGTTTTTTTGTCTCCTGAAGTAGAATGTAAGTTCCAGGAGAGATGAGCTCTGGTCTGTTCTGATCTCCTCTTTATGTCCAGGGTCAAGGTCAGTGCCTGGACTGTTACAGTCTCTCAATAGGTGTTTGTTGAATGAATTGCTTAAAAACACAGTGCACTCGCTCATCTTCTTTTTTTTTTTAAATGATGGGAGGAAAGAAGATATGCAGGGGAACATGGTTTTTTGTTCTGTTTTGTTTTTTGGCTGTGCTGGGTCTTCATTACTCTGTGGGCTTTTTCTAGTTGTGGTGAGAGGGGGCTTCTCTTCGTTGCAATGGGTGGGCTTCTTATTGCGGTGACTTCTCTTATTGCAGACCACGGGCTCTAAGTGTGAGGGTTTCAGTAGTTGCAGCACTCAAGCTTCAGTAGTTGTGGCTCCCGGGCCCAAGAACACAGGCTCAATAGTTGTGGTGTACGGGCTTATTTGCTCCTTGGCATGTGGAATCTTCCAGGATCAGGGATTGAACCAAGTCTTCTACATTGGCAGGCAGAGTCTTTACCACTGAGGGAAGCCCTGCTCATCTCATTTTGAACTTCATTTTGCCTTTGGTGCCTCCAAGGACACCAGGAGACAGCGCCAAAGAATTGATGCTTTTGAACTGTGGTGTTGGAGAAGACTCTTGAGAGTTCCTTGGACTGCAAGGAGATCAAACCAGTCAATCCTAAACAAAATCAACCTTGAATATTCATTGGAAGGACAGATGTTGAAACTGAAGCTCCAGTACTTTGGCCACCTGATGGGAAGAACTGACTCATTGGAAAAGACCCTGATGCTGGGAAAGATTGAAGGCAGGAAGAGAAGGGGACAACAGAGGGCGAGATGGTTGGATGGCATCCTGGACATGAGTTTGAGCAAGCTCTAGAAGTTGGTGATGGACAGGGAAGCCTGGTGTGCTGCAGTCCATGGAGTCGCAAGGAGTTAGACACGACTGAGGGACTGAACTGGACTGACTGACTCCAAGGACTCCAGCATGGGGCTGTCTGAAAGTCCCAAAACAAAGTCTTCTTGTTGGCAGCGGGGGTGGGTGGGAGGGGAGTCCATCTTCTTCTGAGCCTGGGTTGCCCTTCCTAAGTCTTAAGTCCTCTTTCACTGCTGCTTCACTTGGGCTCAGTGGCCTGACTTGGTTGTCTCCCTCCTGACCTTGGAACATTCCTGGAATCTTGCAGGAGGGAGTTTCCATGCCTGTGTCTTCTGCAGCCAGTGATGGAGAGGGAGCTGACCAGAAGAACCGTGTTCTTGGTCAGGGTCAAGTTTCTCCATCCGTGTTGCCTGGCACATGCACCAGGCCGGTGGGCGGGGGCAATTTGCACGCCCTGTGCCCCCTTCTCCCATTCTAGTTCCTCCGGTGGCCTGGCTTGTGCTCACAAGCCTCTGAGGCCTTCTTGTCAGCAAGGCCAGTTTGGTTCTCCTTTCAAGTGTCCTTCGTTTAAGATCAGTTCCAATTTCCCTGAGCTTTTGGGAGACCCAGGGCAGAGGTCTTCAAGCAACCAGCATCATCCCCCAAGCCAGGGTGCAGCTTGTTTGCATGACCGACTCCTTTCTGACTGAGAGTTCCTTGGGGTCAAGGTCAGGGTTAGGGGCTGGGTCTTGGCCTCCATTCCAGGTACCTACCAGTTCCTGGCAAACTGCTTGATGAATGAATAAGTGCAAAAACCAGGGCTGTTTTACAGAGTGACATATTTCCATTTGGGCCTCAAAAGAGGGATGTCTAAACGGGATCCCCCTCTTTGTGGTCAGGGGTAGAACAGGGCAGGTCCCCTGGCTCTCAGGCTACCTGAGCCTCCCTGGGTCCAAGATGCAGGATGCTAGGGGAGCCTGAGCCACTGGGAGACATAGTGGCCTAGGCAGACTCTCCTGCAAGCTGCCTGCTCTGGTGGGTCCAGGAGAACTGCCTGCTGAGACCTAAACAGCCATGGACCCCTCTCCCCAGTCCCCTACCTGCTGCTGAGGACAGAAAGAGCAAGGCCTCACTTATGAGAAGCTTCATGAGTTGAGCCTGTGAGCCTGAAGCTTCCTGGACCTGCCCTCCTCTCAGCCCCTCTGCCATCTGGCCGGTGGTTTTTAGAGATACAGAAGAGGGGGCTCAGGAGGTCAACCCCTGGGTTCAAGCCACCACATGGTAACTGGCTGATCTGGGATTTCTGATGTGACTGCCCCAGCGCTCGGGATTTGCCAGGTCCTGGCCTGGGACACCATCCAGAGGGCACACAAAGGCCGGTCTTTTTTTATTTTTTTTCGGAGGGGTCAGATAACTCAGGACAGGCAAGGTCTGGGTCCCCAGCCAGGCAAGAACCAGGTACAGGAAGTGGCATCTATTTATAGGTCGGGCCAGTGCCGTTCCAGCAGCAGGTGATAAGTGGGTAGGTTAATAACTCGCTGCCCCCTCCCCCTCCCTCGCCAGCAGAAGTTGGGGGCTGCATTAGCGACAAGCCGCCCCGAGCTGTGATAGGCTGGCCCAGCCTGGCTGACGTCCAGATGGCTGTGCTCCAGCCCCAGGAGGGCTGCTGGGAGTCTGGGAGCAGCAGGACCGAGTGGGAGCCAGCCAGGCCGCTGGTGGGGGCAGGGCCAGCAGGGGAGGCCGCCAGGGGCAGCAGCCCTGGCTCCCTGGGTGTTTGTGGTGAAGAGGTTGCTGTATTCAAGTGGAAGCTGAGCCAGTGAGCCCAGCCCTGGAGCCAGGCATTCTGCTCTGATGGGCTTTGTGGGGGGGATGGAGAGACAAGAATGTTCCATGTCAGCTCGGGAGCCCCAGGTTGGGGGCATGGTGGGGGCGAGGAAGACATCTAGGGTGGCCGGAGGTTCAAGCTGGATCACCCCAGGTGAACCAGGCCCCTGGCACCGACCAGTTCTACCCCTGACTTGGGGACCCCCGCCCTCACTTCTCCCCCCCCCCCCCACCCCTAGCTCCACAGGGCACTCTCTCTCTCTCTCCGCTTTTGTAGTCACCATGGCTTCAGATAACATGGAGTGGGACTCTTCACCCTCACCACCCACCTCCTCCTCTGCCTCTCTGTCCGTCATCTGGGCCAGCCGGACAGGTCATCCCTGGGACAAATGGTATCTGGGAAGGGCAGGTCGAGGGGTCACGTCAGCACCAGCCCAGGGAACAGAAAACTATGAGCAGATTCGAGTAGATATCCACCCCCTTTCTGTGACATGCCAGGTACTGTTGAGCCCCGGGGGACACATGGTGACCAAAAAAGACACAGACCCTGTCCTCCTGGAGCCCACAGGCTAGTGGGGAGGCGGTGATGACCGGAGGTCAGGGGCAAGTTGACCAGACAGGGCCACCAAGCTACGTGGGCGACGTTGAGCCCCGCCAGAGCGAGAGGAAGGTCAGAGCCGTGGGAAGAGCACACGGGCTGGGGGGGCACTGTCCCCCCAGAATGGGAGGAAACCTCGTGCCTGTACCTCTGGCCACGGGGCGGCTGGACTCACCGATGTATAAAAGGAGTTTGTGCGGATTATTCTGTTTGACGCCCCCTCCCCTGTGGCCTGCTGGGTCTTCTCCATCCCTCTCGGACCTGCTCTGTGTCCCAGGGGACTGGCCCTGTGGACCGGGTGGCCTGGGCTCTCTTGTTCTTGTGACTTCTGCTGGGCTTGGGCCGTGGGAGAGGGCTGCGGTGTGGCCCCAACCCCAGATGTAGCTCCTGTCTGGACCCCTCCACCCACCATGCTCTCACCAGCTCCCATCAACCTTCAGGTGGAGGAGAGTGGTTAGAGCTTCCCACTGTGGCCAGTCCTGGGCGTGCCCACCTGGCTCGCGGGTTGACTAAATAGTTCTCCATCAAGGTCTCTTCAAAACCCAGCCAACCTCACCTGTGCCCCCGTCTCACTGATGTTCTAATAGCTGATCTGGGACTGACTCCTTCACAGTGCAGGAAACTGAGGTCCAGAGAAATGTCACAACTTGCCCCAGGTCACCCTCCTCCCCCGGCTGACCCAGAGCCCAGCGCTCCGGGGCCCCATGGCCTCTGCGGACAGGCGGCCTTCTCTCTCACCTGGGCAGTAGCAACGCAGCACGCCGGGCTGAATCAAGGACGCAGGCACTGAGATCTGGTCGAACAGGCAGCTGTAATTATTGCTGGCTTCTTGCCAAGGGCCTGTGATGAGAACCTTCACTCCTCCCTGGAGGGAACAGAGGCCAGCAGGGGGAGGGGGTCAGCCACAGAGGGACACGGGCCTCCATGGCTGCACCGCTCAGACGGTGGTCCACACCCCAGCCCACATGCTTGTGGAACATGCAGGCTCCCCAATCCCATAAGCCCTACTTTATTTGTTTTTAAACTTTGGTTTTGTGTTGGGGTATAGCCGATTAACAATGTTGTGATAGTTTCAGGTGCAAAGCAAAGGGACTCAGCCATACACATACATACATCCCTTCTCCCCCAAACTCCCCTCCCATCAGGCTGCCACATGACAGAGCAGAGTTCCCGGTGCTGTATAATAAGACCTTGTTCATTATTCATTTTAAATGATACAAATGAGCTTATTTATAAAACGGAAACAGACTCACAGATTTAGAATTCTGACCTATGGTTACCGGGGGGATGAATGGGAGGAAGGGATAGTTAGGGAGTTTGGGATCCATATAAACCCCACATTTGAGAACCACTGTCTCAGGACTGCGTCAGGGAGAAGGGACCCAGTTCTCCTCCCCCTGGTATGCCAGGGGCCCCAAGACGCCCTTTGCCTTTCTCAGCTGGCATCCTGCAGGGGGATGGCAGTTCTGACCCCTGATCCCCTCCCAGAAGTGGAACTTGCAGCTCTAGCCAGAAGGGAGCTGCTGCTGCTAAGTTGCTTCAGTCATGTCTGACTCTGTGCGACCCCATAGATGGCAGCCCACCAGGCTCCACCGTCCCTGGGATTCTCCAGGCAAGAGTACTGGAGTGGGTTGCCATTGCCTTCTCCGAGCCAGAAGGGAGCAGTTTGTCAATCCTTTCCCCTCAGGATGCACCTGAGAAACTGGCCGGGGTTGGGGGGACCTGTGGAAGGTAGTGGAGGGGAGGGAGGGGGCGTTCTCTTTCATTTGCTTGTGGACAGATTGCGGGAACTCTGAGCTGTGGAAACAGGCCTGGGCATCTTAGTGGCCCTCCAGGGAGAGGACATGGTGGTGGCGAGGATGAGGGGAGACCCAGGATGCCCAGGGTGTGGTGGGGAGAGCCAGGGAGATGGATGATGATGGCGATGGGAAAGACAGCAAAACAGAACATTGGCAGGAGCACTCTGAATGGGAGGGACTCAGAGGTCACTCTGGGCTGGATGGGGGCTTCCTGCTGGGGGCTGGGGATTAGGTGAGACTGTGCATGGCCTCCTGACTCTGGGCTGAGCCACGGAGGGCACTTGTCTGTGCTGCCCGCATGGCCTGCCACCCCCTGACTATGTGCACATCATACATGCAGGCCCCGATGTAGCAGAGCTGGGCTGCAGCTGCCCTCACAGGGCAAGGGTGGGGCAGGGGGAGGGAGGAAGGGGGATGGCGGAGGGTGGCTCAGATGACCTTGCTCAGCTCAAGGGGAGAGGGCCCCAGAGGCGCCCAGGCGCAGGAGGGCGCAGGAGAGGAATCAGCACTCCCTGACCGCCTGCTGGAACCAGCCAGGGCAGACACACAGCACACCGGTGGCCTCATGTCTCGGTCTCCTGGGCAGTCCTGTTTTACTGTCCGAGCTTTATGATTAATAGCACCCTGTCCTGCCTGATGGGGGCAGCATGGTGTGGGTGCCCCACTCAGGGCTCAGACTGCAGTCACTGAGTCGGGGAGGCTTGCCCTGGGGGTGCAGAGGGCGAGGTGGCTGGCCTCTAGGGCTCCTCTGGCTCTCCTAGGGTGGGCCAACGCAGGCTCCAGCCACCGTGCCCAGCAGGGGCCAAGAGCTGCCCAGGACGGCATGGAGGGCACCGCCTAGTGTCCAGGCAGGAAAAGTTAAGAGGAGACCAGGGTGGTGGAGCGGGTGAGAAGCGCCTCACTTCTCCAGGCCAGAGCCCAGACCCCAGCTCTCCTGCTGCTCCTCATGCCAGTGAGACACTCTCTCCTGCTCACTGACCCGTTCTTGGGTGACCTGTCCTTGGCACTGGCCCATCCATGCCCCCAGCCTCAACACAGCACTTGCTCTGGAGGCTCCCTACAAGGCTCCTTGGAAGCAGACCTGGAGCAGGACTGGCCTTGGGTGTCCGTAGTGAGAGGCCTAGAGGTGGGCCCCGCCATGGGCCAGCACAGAAAGGAGATTCCCCCTTGGAAGGGGCTCTCCCAGACTGCAAGGGGCTCTCTGAGACTGGAAGGCATTTTCCGTGTGCTCTTAGATGGGCCTTCCTTCCTCTGCCTGGAATGGCTAGGAAAATCAGCTTCCTGCTAAACCAAAGTTTAGAGGGCAGTAGAGAGATCTCAGGACCAAGAGCCAAAAGCAGGAGGCCCGCCCCTGCCCTCCAGTAGCTGTGTGTCCTCAGGCAAGTGGCTCACCCTCTCTGGGTGGCATTTGAACTCTAGGCACGCTCTGGCCTTAACAGTCTTTGGTTCTCACATATGGCCCCAAGGAGAGTTTTGGAGTTCTGTCAGCGTGGCAGGGCTGTTGGCCACATCCATGGGCCCCTGGGGCTGGGCGTGGGTGCCTGGCTGGGAGTTGTGCCACATGACTCGGGAGAACCTAACTTTGGGGTGCCTTGGAGCACCCGAGACCAGTTCAGGGTACAGTAGTCCCTGGATCCTGGGTAGAGGAAGTGCAGTGGCTTCAAGAGGCCACAGACAGTTACTCTGTGAGAAAAAAGGAAAAATTAAAAAAAAAACAATAACCCCAATCAGTAGCTGCTAGCATGAAGCCAGGGCTGCTGTGAGGAACAAAGGACTGCAGAGATTGCTGGAGAACATCAGGCCCTTCTCCATGGAAACTGCCGCGGGAGGGGCTCAGCATCCATCCCATTCAGGAGGGGGTTTCCATGGCAACATTGGCCTGGCTGGGCTGAATCACTGTGATGCGGGCACCTGATAGCTCTAATTGCAGACTCCTGTGCCTGGTGCGGCAGGAGCGTCAGTGGAGGGAGATGACGCAGAAGGGCTTGGGGGAGGACAGACAGCAACACATGCTACCTGCGGTCTCTGTGCCCTGGAGCCCTGAGATAAAGGCCCTGGACTTCTGATGCACCTAGGGAGGGTCCTGGAGGCCTGGGGGAACATCAGCGCGGGCGCGCATGTGTGTGTGTGTGTGTGTGTGTGTGTGTGTGTGTGTGTGTGTGTGTGTGTGTGTGTGTGTGTGTGTGTGTGTGTTAGGTGAACAGGTGGACACAGCAGAGGGGAAACGGGAGCAACCTGTGGACAGGCGGAGGGACACTCCAAGAAGAGACAGCAAGATAGCCCTAACCTTAGCATCCCTGTGAAGTGGGTGCCTAGGTACCCTCAAATTTTAGAGCCAGGTGAGGACACTGAGCCACTGACCTCATATTTACAGACGGGGAAGCATCTCCAGGCCCTCCACAAGCTTGGCAGAGCCTGGCTAGAATGTGTTCTTGACAGGTGGAAGTGGGCTTCTTTCTGGTGAAGGGGTGAGGGCAAGTGGAACCCTGCTAGCTGATGGGGGGGCTGTGATGGGAGTGGGGAAGGGGGACAGCGGGGAAGATACTGTCTCCTGCAGGAGAACCCAGGAGGGCCAGTTCCTGCTGCTGGACCGGGCAGGGGAGAGGAAGTGGCTGCAGACCCGCTGGGGCCTCTGCAAGAGGCCTCCCCACGCCACCACACTGGGCTCCAAAGCGCCTGGCTGGATGGCATCTGCCCATTTCCCAAATCAAATTGAGTCTGAGTTGCTTTTGTTTCTGGGTAGCTGGAAGCAGCGAGAGCTTCTGCAAAAGCAGGCTGGCTGCTCCCTCCCGACAGTAAAGAATCTGCCTGCAATGCAGGAGACCAGGCACCCGGGCCATCATTCCTTTCCTGTTCCCGTGCCGCCCTCTCGTGGCGAGCTGCTGAACGGACCTTCTCCGAGATACAGTTCAGGGATCCGCAGGCCTGTGCTTGGATATTGGAAGGAGAGGGCCAGGCTAGCCAAGGGCCCCTGACCAGTGCCCACAGGTCCCAGGGCCTTGGGATGTGTAGTTAGCTCACAGGCCGAGCGCAGGGGTAAAAACCTTCGCTTCCTTGGGCTCCAGGGAGACTCAGAGCATCCTGAGTACCAGATCCCATGGCTGTGGACTTGGGCCTTGAGGCCACCCTGCTCAGCAGGACACTGAGGCCCGGAAAGCAGGTTTCAGAGTCAGGCTCAGGGAAGGCAGCACCCCAACTCCCAGCTCTGACCTCCCCACACCCCAGTCCCAGGGCTCCCTCTTGGCTTCTCTGAATTGCAGGCTTAAGCCCCGTGGGGGGCCCAGCTGCTGGGCTGAGCTGACCTATCTCTCCAGAGGGACAGGGTCACACTGAGCCACACTGAGGGCAAACTGAGTCAGAATCTTGCAGAGTCTTAGAGTGACCGCGGGGATGGGGGGCCCATGGGGGGTGCCCATGAATGTGGGCAGAAGAGGTAGGCACTGTTGGAGCTGTTCACTGAGTCCTGACAACACCCCAGTGAGGAAGACAGGAAAGCAAGCCACCTTGGCTGAAGTCACCACCGGCCAGCCAACAGGGGACAGGATTTGAATTTGGACTGTGCGCTCCCAGCCCTGTGTTCCTCACCACATAGGGGAGCCACGTCTGGACACCTGAGCTTTGAAGCACCTGTTGCCTGTGGACCCAGAGCTGCTCTGATACCTGCTGTATCTCTGGGAAGCTCCTGTCCCAAGGTGGGGTCACTACCTGGGCTGATGTAGCATCTGAGAGCCAGGGACATTCGTGCACAGTGAGCACCCTCTGCCACGACCACGGCCACGGCAGGAGGACACGGAGAGAAGCCTGGACCTTGAGCTGCGAGGTCCACAGAGTAATAACCAGTAACATAATAATGAACTACTGATTACTTGCTATGGACCAAAGACTTTACCAAGCCCTTCTGGCACCTCGCCTCATCCCAAGGCAGGCACTGTTATCACCTCCACCTGATAGGTGAGGAAACCGAGTCACAGGGAGGGAAAGTCACAGCAGAGCCAGGATTGACACCCAGAAGTGGACCCTTGAGATATGTCCTTCACTCTGGGCATCACTGGCCCCTTCACCAGGGCCTGGGGGAGCCTCAGAAGCAGAGATGGGCTCTCAGCAGAGTTTCATTTCTCAGGAACCCCGTTAGCTCTGTCCCAGTGTGAGCATCAACCAGGGAGCCCCTACCAGTGCCTGGGTCTGTTTAGTCAGCATCCCTGCCCTGCCTGTGCGGGAAGATATTTTTTGGGGTGTGTATCACTGCCTTTTGGTACCCTTTGAGCTTCAGGGTCTTTTAGGAGCACCCTTCCTTTGGTGTCCTGGTAGCAGTTCCTGCCCCGGCAACTAGGCAATGTGTCAGTGGAGCCAAGGGAGCCATGGGCAGCCGCCTGCAGCCTGGGGAGAAAGTGCCGATCTGGGCCCCAAGGTGCTGCTCCCCAAGCACCTGGCAGGTGACCTGGGAGGGGGCAGGGGCATGGACTAGTGGGCAGCAGGGGGTTAGGGAAGGCTCGGGCCATTCTGTCCCTTTCCTATGCCATTCTACTTCACAGGAAAAGCAAAGGTTCCTTCCTTCACTACTTGCACCAACCTGGAAGACCTGGGTTTCCTGTGGTCCTGGGCTTTGGAGCAGTGATTCTCAACATCAGATCTCAGCCCCCCAGGAACCAAGGACAGACCCGAGGAGGGGGCTGAGGCCACAGGCAGGGGAGCCTGGGTCATGTAACATGCCTTTGATCTTGTTGAGGCTGGATATACCCCCAGATCTCACAGATGACTCTTCAGAAACTGTACCCTCCCTCTCAATTTGATGGGAATTTGTTTTGTTTTGTGAAACAAATCAAAAGCAATGGATGCAGACGGTCTATGGTGGTGATGGTGGATTTTCAAATGGTTTTCCAGCAGCCCTAGGATGCTTTTGCCAAAAAAAAAAAAAAGCAAAGCAAAACATGGATGGAATCTTAACACATCAGCCAGGTGACAGTGGTGACAACAAACACTGATCCTGGCCCAGCTGGGAGGGCCACCTGGCCTCCGAGGAGACCCCTGCTCCTGTGAGAACTGGGAACACTCCTTGAGAGAGGTGGGGGTATTTCTAGTGCCTTGGGGACAGAGGTAGGGGACTTGGTCTGCACTGCCCAAAACTTCAAGGGGAGGGCAGCCACATGCAGACGGGCATCTCTTGCTACCTGCTGGCAGGTGGGCAGGTGGTGAGGCAGGCATGACAGGTGAGGCAGGTGGGGAGGTAGGCAGGTGAAACAGGTGGGCAGGTGAGGCAAGTGGGCAGGTAGGGCAGGTGAGGGGTGGTGATGGCAGCAGCAGCTTACCTCCGGGTAAGACCACTCTGGGGAGTAGTCGGTCACCATGAACACCCGTCCGCTCTGCTGCAGCATCCCCAGGGTGCCCGAGGCCGAGGCGGCCGAGACCACCTCAGCGACATGCATGTAGGCCATGGTGCCGGCCCCGCCCTCGGCGCTGCTCAGCTGCAGGCCCCCCTGCTGGGGGCTACAGCAAGGGATGCACATCTCAGCCTGGGTGAAGGGGGCGCGGGCCCCATCCTCCGACTGCGAGAGCGCTGTGCCATCCCCCGACACCAGCTGGTGCCCGTAGATGGTGCCGCCGCCCCCCTCCACGGAGATGAAGTCATTGATCAGGTCGGAGAACTGGTTGCTGAAGGAGATGTCAAAGTGGTCCAGGCTGAGCTCCATGTTGGAGGTGTTGCCAAGGCCGGGCTGGGCCACGGGATAGAGCCCCTGCACCACATTTCCCGGGAGGAGGGGGACGCCCCCGGCACTACGGATCACCCCGGTGGGCTCTGGCTGCAGGTAGTGCTCAGAGCTACAGGCCTGCAGCTCCCCGGACTTGATCAGGCCCTCACTGCCTTCAGCCACTTGTGAGGTCTCCATGGTGACCTCCCCTTCCGTCGCCATGGCCTGGAAATTGGCCTGAAACTGCATGAGGTGGAGGGAGGATGTGGACTCGATCCGCGTCTCCACGTGGCCGCTGCAGGAGCTGGTCTGTGACGAGGCCTCCGTTTTCACCGTGGGCATCACGAATGTGCCCCCAGAGTCACTCAAGCTGCTGTGGGCATTCTGCTCGATGGGGAGGGGCTTGCTGGCATCCTGCAGGAAGAAGCTCGGGGAAGGGGTCTGGTGGACGTGGGGGCTGTGGCCCGTCTGGCTGAAGCTGGACGTGTAGTCCTTATTGGAGTCTATTGCACTGAAGTCCATTTGCTCCAGCGTGGTGCTGGGGCTCAGGCCGCCACCCGAAGGCAGGAGGCTGGAGCCGGCGCTCAGGGTGAGGGAGCTGGACGCTGCAGCCGCCGCGGACGAGGAGTAGGCTTCTTTGGCCATCTGCTGCTCAAAGGAGGTGTCCTCGGTCTTGATCTCCTTGGTCAGGACGGTGGTGAAGCCGAAGCCCCTCTCCACGGGTGGCGAGTGCCGGACATTGGTGCTGACCATCTCGGCTTTCAGGCCTCCGCCCCCATACGTCTGGCCCTGCTTTGGGTTATTGAGGAAACAATCGGGGTCAAAGTTCATGGTGGTTTCTGGAATCTTCCGGCCCCCGTCGAGGGTGGTGGAGAGGACGAGCTCTTCGGACACGTTGGTGGGCAGCATGGACAGGCTCTCCGAGCTGCCCGTGGTGGGGAAGGCGAACTTATGGCCGTCGGAACTCACGGCCAGGACGAGGCCCTGAGAGGCATCGGGCGAGAGGAGGTGGTGGTTGGGGCCGGCGGTGGGGGACATGGTGTACACGGCCTCGTTGGTGACCTCGGACATGAACACCGTGGCGCTCTGGGACAAACTCCCCATCACGGACGCCACCGCCATGCTGGACACGCCCGTGACCACGGGGCTGTCCACCATGTCAGGGTCGCTGTTGAGCCCGCTGCTGATGGACACGGGGGAGCTCTGGGTGGTGTCGGGGACCTCCACCTGGTTGGTAGAGGAGACCTCCGTGCTGTTCTGGTGCAGCAGCACGGGCTTGGCCACCTTGCCGTTCCTCTTCTCTCGACTCGAGCCCTTGCCGTGGTGGCTGTGCTCCTGCTTGCCCTCCGACACGTCATTGTGCTGCACCTCCGCGTGGCCCCCGTACCCCCCCGCCCGCGGCTCCACCTTCGGCGAGATGATGCGGTGTTTGGCACTGTTACACTTGTGGTGCACGCTGCTGCCCGCTCCTGCGGAGATTGCAAGCACAGCACACACGCACACACACACGGGTACACATACATGCACACGCACCAGAGAGTCAGAGCAAGGGCTGCAGGGGGCCCCGTCCCTGAGCGCTGGGGTCAGGCAGAGCCCAGCCTGGGAGTCCAGGCAGGCCCTTCGCCCCACCCTGTCCTCGAGGCTGGCATGGGACAGACCCTCAGGGTGTCGGGCCAACTTACCCTACCTGGGTTCTCACATGCCCTCTGTAACCATCTTCCCGACCTGGACTCTTTGTCCCAAATGGTCTTTTCAAATAGTAATCGAAGCACCCCAGTGCATGGGTGGTCGGGAAGGAGGGAAGGAGGGGCTGGGAAGAATGTCATCCTCTCGGAAAATCCTTCCTACCCTCGGAAGCATTCACTCACTGAACTGGGCCTTGCTGGCCAGAGGGGCTCAGTCCGAGATGCTGACCGGGGCCCTCCCCCCTCCCACTAAACGTTCCTTGACTGCCCAGCAAGCCCCTCTGGGACTGAAAGCCAGAGGTTGATATGTGTGTGTTTGGCGGGGTAGGGTGGGGTGACTGGGAAGGAGGTGGGAAGCAATGAACTCTCCCTGGACTAGCTCTTAGGCCCCAGGGCCAAAGAGGGTTCTAGACTTCACTCCAGAGGCAGAAAGGTTTTGGGGGCCACCTCCACCTCTTTAGCTAGCCTGAGCCTGTCCTTGGCTCTTTGTAGGGTGAGATCCCTCTAAGACCTGAGCAAGGACGGAGATCTGGCTCTCAGTTGAGTGGCAGAAAAGAAAGAGCCTCGGGCTCTGAGCATTTCTGAGCAAGCTGCACTCAGGGCTCTACCTCCAGGCCTCCACTCCTGTGTAATTTTCATTCCATCTGATAAGGGTGACTCTGCTTTTGATGAAAGGGTGGATTCTCCCCTGATCTTATTCCAGCCTCACTAAGATTCCTAAATGCATGAAGAGTTCTCAAAGAAGCAGCATGACCCTCTAATGGAAATAGCTAATTAAGGCAGCTAGGGAGTGAAGAACTACATTTCAAAGAGCAAATACCATTATCAGAAGCACAGACACTCGGGATGGGGGTGCAGGACACTGTGTTCTTGGAGGAGGCAGAGCTGAAAGCGAGAGGCTTAGCTTGAGCGGTCCTACTTACTCAAGGCTGACTCCCTGGAAAAGCCTCTGTTGGTCCACTGCCCCGGGGACCTGAGCTCCTGCCTCTGATGCCTGAGATCCTGGGGTCTTGCTGGGGCGGGTGGATGTGCATGGTGGCCCAACCCTGCGCACTCCTAACTGTACTGCTCACATTCCCAGAAGGAGGTGTTTATCTGGAGACTGTTTTCTTCTGCCCAAAGGGAGCTACCCTACCAACCTCGCCAGTCCCATCAGCCCCACCAGTCTCATCACCTCGTCAACCCCACCAGCCCCACCAGCCCCGCCAGCCCCGCCAGCCTCACCAGCCCCAGCAGCCTCACCAGCCTCACCAGCCTAGCCAGGCAGGATGAAGGAGTGTTGCCCTGCGTGCTGTGGCCTGCTCATGGCTGACCCCCCTCCCCTCCCAGACGTCACACCTGCTGCCTGGTAGCACCCCTTGCCCGCATGCCCGCCGGCGGCCCGGCTCACCCAGGCTGCCGGTGCAGAGGCAGTTGTGAGTCCGCGGTGGCGGCTTGGTCTGGTGGCTGTCGAGGATCTGCTGCACCAGCTGCTCCACGGAGAAGCCCGAGCTGCTGTTCCCATTGCTGCACGTCCACTTGATGCCGTGGACTGTGGGGAGAGAGGCGGGCGAGGGGGGGGTGAGGTCAGAGGCCACCTGTGCCTGGGGGAGGTCCGGGGAGGGATGGGGCCTGAGCCCTCCCCGGAGCGCGGCCCACCTTCTGCTGGCAGGATGACTCCAAGCACCACAAAGCGATGCCTGTAAGAGGGGAGAATGGAGGGAGGAGAGGGGAGGGCCAGGCTGCCCCATCACAGCCCCTCCCCTGGGGAGCTCTGTGCCCCCCACCCCTGCCCCCTGCCCTATCTCGCATTCTTGCTTCCTGTGGTGCCGCACGGGGAGGGATGGCCCAGAGAGTTGCTTTGGTTTTTTTGCAAAGCTCAAGTGCATCTGGTGGTTCTTCAAGGGGTTGTGGAGTGGAGAGACAGAGAGCAAGCGTGGGGAAGGAGAGGTCCACGAGGTTGAGGGACCTCCCCAGAGTGCAGGCTGTGGAGACGTGGAGGAGAGATGTTGGCTGGGGGGTCCGGCTCCCAGCAGGATGGACGGCCAACCCTGGCGGAAGGGGCACTCCAGCTTCCTTCTCTCACCAGACTTTTTAGCCTCAAGGGGCCGCAGATTGGGCTGGGGGAGAAGGGGCTGGACCGAAGGGCCCACACAGCCTGGACAGTGGGTGCCCACTGATGATGACCGGCCACCTGGATGACCGCCCTGGAGTTTTAGCTCCGCCCTCCTCTACCCTGGACCGCTGCTGTCCCTGGTGTTGGAGTGGGGGTCCGGGAGGCTGAGGGTGGGCTCCCCATCTGCCTGGCAGGACGGGGCTGGAGGTCTAAACTAAACGACCTGCCTGGCTGAGTGTGTGGACTGACTGAGCTTCACGCCCGCTTGCCCTGCTGTTCTTTCTCAGCTGGAGCAGACCCGGCCGAGAGGCGGCTGAGCCCGGGCTGGCACGTTGGGCACATGGCACAGCCCAGCTCTCTCTGGTTGCTCCGGGGGGCCTGGGCCCAGAGGCAGTGAATTCACAGCCCCAGGGTTAGGGCTGGTCCTGGGGGTTGCAGGAGGGACCCAGGTCCCTCTGAAGGGGGGATGGTGGGAGCTGGTAGTCTGGGAGGAGGAGCAGGGCATCAGGGCACAGGGTCAGAGTAGGGAGAGACCAGGGGCTTTGCCAGGCAAGAACAGTTTCCCTTCCCCATTGGTTAAACTGCTCTCACGTGAACTCCAGGCAAAGCACTGTCACAACTTGCAAAGCCTTCCTTTGCTTTGTGAGGGGCATAAGGAAATATATACGGAAAGTCTACACAGCAGGTAACTTCCCTGGTGACACAGATGGTAAAAAATCTGCCCGCAATGCGGGAGACCTGGTTTTGATCCCTGGGTCGGGAAGATCCCCTGGAGTAGAAAATGGCAACCCACTCCAGTCTTCTTGCCTGGAGAATTCCCTGGACAGAGGAGCCTGGTGGGCTACAGTCCATGGGGTCACAAAGAGTCAGACACGACTGAATGATTAACACAGAGCAGGTGGGAGCTGGATTGGATTCAGACCTGGATTGGAGCCCAGGCTTTGGTCTTTAGTTGCAGTGTGAATTTGGGCAAGTCACTAAACTTCTCTGAGCCTCAGTTTCCTCCTCTGCAAAATGGGAATACAAGAGTAGCCACCTCACAGTGTGGCCTGGGGGAAACCCTGATCTCCTGCTTGGCATTCTGTGTGGTCCCCACCAAGAGTAGCTGTTGTCATCACCGTTAACGGTGATGCAGTGGTGGCAACACACAACACAGGATGCTGGCCCTGCCCTGCCAGTTGGCTGATGCTAGGGGAACAGGCCGGGACATCCACAGGTCGCTCAGCCTTGGAACGGGCAGGGAGAACTCCATGGCGCTGTCCATCTCACTGCTGCTCGTCAGCGCCTTCATGTAGAACTTGAGTGGTTTTTCAAAGAAATCCCGTGTGAGTGTTGTGATCCGCCGGGACTCCCTCGGGAGCAGCGCTTTTCTCCTGTGTGCACCTGTCCCGGGTGTTTTTCCAGCAGCCTTGTCCTCCACTCCATTCTGATGAGCCTCTGGCTCCTCTGCTCCTGCACCGTAGACAGCACTGGGGCCATGGCCCTGTGCTGGGCGGGTCCTGAATTGTGATGGGTCATCCAGACAGGGTGCTGGCTGCATGGCTTCTGCTCCAAGCTAGCTCAGCTGCCTGGGTTTGAAGCCATAGGTGCCTGTTCAGAACCCTTTGTGATGGCGATGTTCAGGGGTCGGGGATTTACAGCACCTTTCCGCAGGTGGATGGTATCTCCCCTGGGGATCCCCTGGGAAATTCTCCAGCAGCCCAGGAGGTTTGAGCTTCTGCTGACTCAGGCCCTCCTGCCTGGCTGCTGGAAGGCACAGCCCAGGCTGGGGGTTTGCAAACCCCATCGTAGTCTTGGAGTGCTTTTCTCAAATAACCTCTGCCTGGAAATCCACTATGGAAAACGGATCATAGTGGAAGGGGCCTGGCTCAGGTGGGAATTGAGGTCAGGGCCTGACACCCATGTCCAGGATCTCCTTTGACTCAGGACCTTTTCCAGAATCCTCAATTTATAGATGAGAAAACAGAAGCTGGGGGGCAGGGTGGGGGCCAGAGGGCAGGACTCAGGACCCCTTCCCTCGAACCACTGTACCCACAGATGGCCTTGCAGCTGTCTGTTCCCTGCCCCAGCGTGGGCATTCTAGGGGGGGTGCCCAGGTTTGTTTCTAAAGCCCTGTAGGAGTTCCTCCCTTGCAGTCAGGACGACAGTCACAGAGCTCTGTCCTAGACCCAGAGCCTGCAGGTTCTGCAAGCCTGGGACCAGAAACATCTCCAGAGCTCATTGCGGTATGTCTCCCTGTGGGGGTGCTTGGAGCAGGTGCTCATTGCAAAGCCAGACCAGGTGTTCTCAGGGGAAACCTTCCATGAGTCTGAACTTGAATCTCGGGAGATGAGCTGGGCCCAGGCAACCCCCTCCTGGCATCTGGCCACTTGCCAACTCCCCACCCAAAGCTCTGAGGTCCTGGGGTTGGGCGGCTTCGCTAATCCCCAGATGGGCCGTCACCTTTGCTGGAATGTTCTGGCATTTCTGACCAGGACCCCCTGTGCTGACAACTGTCACTCAGACCAGTCTCCTCTGCCCCCCGTGAGGGTGTGGCTCCCGAGTTCTCTCTGCCTCTTGCTTGTCTCCTTATGTTGTGAAGGTTATAAAATGAAAACCCAGTGAAGGGTGACAGATTGCAAGCAGAGAATTTCTTGATGCTTAATGCAAATTGCCTACTGTCTTAGCACATCCAATATGCAAATTGTCTCCCTCCCACTCCGGTGGGGGTGGGGAGAAAAACCCCCCTCCTTGGAGGTGGTGAGCTGTTAGTACTGAATATCAAATACTATCAAGACGGCTTTTAACATGTCACTCTCCGCTTCTCGACACGTAATGAATCAGCAGGAAAGGAGATTTCTATGGGGAAAAGAGAGCTCTGAGGAAGGAAGGTTAATACACGTGCACTGGCCCCTCCCCCTCCACCGCCCCTCCCCCTTCATAAGAGCAGCAGAAGGGAAACTGCATTGAAAGTACAGCTGGTGAAAGGTAAGGTCATGACCTGGGGTGGGAGGCACAGAAAGAGAAGAGGGAATTCCCCCCGCCCCCACAAGTCAACTCCTGGTAGGTCTGGGCCACCTCGTCCCGTCTGCTCTCTGGAGGGCTCAGGGGTCCTGATTCCCAGACTACAGTTGGCAGCCCTGCCTGGGGTGGAGGAGGAGGCTGAGTGTTTCCTGCCGAATTCCAGGCAGAGGGGGGTCTCTATAGCCCTTCATACACGAGGAGGCCTGGGTGATACTCCCTGGCTGCTCAGGTGATGTGCCCAGGAAGGCTAGGGCGGAGAGGTACCAGAGATGGGGAAGGTGGGCGTGGGTGATTCCTCACAGGCCTGCACAGGACAGAAAGTGGCCAGAGGGCCACGCTGGCCAGTAGAAAGTGGGGCGCAGCAGGGCACTCCTGCAGCTCCGCCCACAGTCTTGCTGCTGCCCGGGGAACCCCACACTGGCTCTGCCGGGCGGCCTACAGCAGGCCGGGTGGGAGGACTGGTCTGTGAGCTGACAGCGCTGACCCGGCCTTTCGACAAGGCTCACCCTAACAACCTCCTGCAGCCAGGCAGCCGTGGGAACACTAATCTGAATAATCAAAATGAAATCAATGACAACAGCATGGCGCCACGCTCTGGAGGGTATCTTCTGAATCTTCAATTCAACTGAGAGGTGGCCAACTGGCAGGAAGAGTGTAATTGAGAGCTGGAGGCAGGGCTGGGGAAGATGCGGGGTTACGCCCCGCCCCCCCCAACCCCGCCCCTGCCAGGGAGACACGGGTTATGTCTGCTCCTTTCCAATTTTGGGGGGTGGTGGTGAAGAGCTTTGGCCAGGCAGGCTTAATTTGACCCCACACTGAGCTGTCTGTCACCCTATTGTGGACAGAAATGTGTATCCCCAAATTCTTAACTTTGAAACCCTGACCTCCAATTTGAGTATATTTGGAGATAGGGCCTTTCAGTAGTTAATTAAGGTTAAATGAGGTCCCGAGGGTGGATCCTAGTCCAATGAGACTGCTGTCCTTATAAGAAGAGGAAGAGGCATTGGGAATGGGCACACAGAAGCCATGTGAGGACACAGCGAGAAGGCGGCCTTCTGTCAGCCGAGGGGAGGGGTCTCACTGGAGACCAGCCCTGCCCACACCTTGACCTCGGACTTCTAGCCTCCAGAATGTGAGAAATAAATTTCTATGGCTCAAGCCGCCCAGGCTGTGGTGCTCTGTTATGGCAGATGACCAATTAATACATTAATAGTTTCCATCAGGGCTTGGGCTTCCCAGGTGGCTTGGTGGTAGGGAAGCCGCCTGCCAATACAGAAGCTTCAGGAAGATGCAGCTTTCATCCCCTGGGTTGGGAAGATCCCCTGGAGGAGGAAATGGCAACCCACTCCAGTATTCTTGCCTGGGAAATCCCACGGACAGAGAAGCCCGGAAGGCCACAGTCCATGGGGTGGCAAAGAGTCGGACACAACTGA